TACTGACTGGGCCAAGTGAAGAGGAGAAGGCAAGGGACAGCCACCAAGAGGTAGCTGTAAAGGAAGAAAAAATAATTCCTGACTGTTCCTTTCTACGTTAATAAAAACCACCAGAAGAATCTAGAGCTGATCATCTCTGGTCTAGATCTGTTTCTGAACTCCCACAAAGTTTGGGGCTGCACAGAGCTGGGGATTTGGTTCAGCCCAATCTTTAAGGAAAACTGCAACCCACAGTCAGGTTCCTCTTCCAAACATGTTTCTGCAGCCAGCATGTCAGCCCCACGGCCACCTGGCCCGGCTCACGCGGAAGTTAGTACTAAGACTGTCATTACAATAACTGCATGAAGATTGATTCTTTCTGTCTGCCATACATACAAGGTCATTGGGTTGGAGTTTCTGTTGCTCATAGGCATGGGAACTAGGGGTGTGGGGAGGTGCTATAGCACCCCCAGGCTCCTGGCCACCACCCTGCATGCTGACGGCTCTGCTGCCATCCCCTCATTGCTGGCATCCTGGCTGATGCACTGTGCGCCAGCTGCCTCTGCTCCAGCTCTGTGCCCGGGGGGAGGGGTCTGCTGCCATCCCCATGTGCCAGGGTCTCAGCTGCTGCCCCCACGCCCAGGATTCCAGCTGCCACCCCTGCGCCATATGGTTCTGTTGCTGGCCCTGCGTGCCAAGAGATTCTTCTGCCAGCCCAGGGTCACAGCTGCTAGCCCCATGTGCTGGGGCTTTGCTTGTGGCCTCAGCTTGGGGGAGGGGAGCTGGATTTCAGCACCCCCCGCTCTTAAAAATGTTCCCACTGCTGTTGCTTGCTAAGATTATCTTTGTGTTCTATGGCATGTCTGTGTTGTATAAGTACTGAACGCATGGTTGGCACTCAATGAATAGTAGAGAGTCCCAGCCAGCAGGAAGTCAACAGCAGCCCTAGGAAACACCTGGACAAATACCAAAAATAAGAGCAAGGAGTAGTCCTGTGGCACCTGAGGCTATGTCTAGACTACACTGAAGTTTCTAAAGTGAAAGTAGTCGGGGCGTGGTTCTTTCAGAACTCCCCTTTTTTTCGAAAAGCCGCGCTTCCTCAAAAAATGAGGTTTACGTGGCTTTTTGAAAAAGGGGGGAGGGTTCCAAAAGAACTGTGTCCCAACTATTTTTGAAAGTGAGATCAGAAGAAGATATGCAAGACTATTTTTGAAAGTGAGATCAGAAGATATGCAAATTCCCGCTCTTTCGAAACTTCAGCATAGTCCAGATGTACCCTTAGAGACTAATGAAAATACAGATAGTATCATGAGCTTTTGTGGGTAAAACCCACTTCATCGGATGAGCTGGAGAAGAATAAAAGAAACCCAGATTTTTATGAATGAAAAAGAAGGGGGGAAAAGGTACCTGTCAATTGTAGGACCAGTGCTAATGAGGCTAATTAAATGAGCTGTTAGCTTTTGATGTAAAAATGAGGTGAGCACTTTACACTCTCTGCCTACATCAGCGTTTCTTAAACTTTTTAAGACCGAGGCGCACCAAACAATATATTTTTTTTTTAATGCGAAACACCAAGATTAGGGGAGGGACGGTTTGGGGGGAAGTTATTGAGAAAAAAAAGGGTTGGGGGAAAGTTATTGAGCCTTTAAGGGTGGCCATTTTGAATTCTGTTGTTCTCCGCGGCACACCTCCGACTGCCTCTCAGCACACCAGTGTGCCGCGGACAGGAGTGACCTGATGGCGCCCTAGGCGGGGCAGCACAATCGGCGCCCCCGCCTGCACAGCCGTCAATGGCCGTGATGTCATCATCGGGCACCCAGGCCAGCTTCGTCCTAGGCATCTGCCTAGTCCTAGGCTGCCCCTGGCTGTGGAACACAGTTTAAGAAACACTGGCCTACATTGATGTTACATATCTGATGTACAGGGAGCTGACTGGCAAAACTGGCCTACGACTTCCCCTTTCCTTGTATCAGAGTGCACTTTCTCTCTGTTCGGTACAGCAGTCATCTCTGTGCTATGCATGAGATAACGAGACCTTGATGAAGCAGCACATGCTGGTTTCTAGTCACTGACTTGAAGGAGCTCCAAGTGGAGGCAGAGAAGGATTGAGATGGACAAGGGGCTTATTTCTCTCTCTCTTTCTCTCTATTCCAGTGAGCTTTGAATTTGGAAGGGCTGTGTGGCTGCGGTTCCATCCATCTGCTTACCCCCCATGTCCACACCCAAGTTTCGTCGCCCACCTGGGCGGGGTGATGGTGGGAATCACGTTGGGAGTGGTCATCCTACGGAACTATGAGCAGAGACTCCAAGACCAGTCCTTATGGTGGATCTTTGTTTTTATTTATGTCATCTTTGTACTGTTTGCCATCTTCTGGAATGTTTTTGCCTACAACTTGTTGGATCTGAAGCTACCTCCACCTCCTTGAGTCCCTGCAACAGACTGCTCAGGAGGGCAAAAGACTTTTCCATCTGCCAGCGATGTTAAATGAATCGAAACCAAGGATTTATTTTTATATGACGATTGGGGATACATAAATGGTCTTCTGGGAATGCACATGTTAAGGAAACTTCTGACATCTTTTTCGTCTGACTGAAGAATCTGAAGATTTAAGCTAAAACGTAACAAGAGAAGTTGGGGTATGAATCAGACAGGTACTATTTATACTCCACTGGGACCCAATCCTGCAGCCTCTCCATTATGGCTACTCCCCTTGAAGAAGGGCTGCAGGATCAACCCAATGTTTGTAACTGGGCGTCTATCACTCGGTTTATTAGCACACCCATGGATGTTTAATTTGGATCACTTAGATTTTTCCAGGCTGTGCTGGATCCATGACCAGTCGGTTTATGAAAGTCTTGTGTTTAACTGAGTAATAAAAGAAAAACAAGTTTCACTTTTCCCACCTAGAGCATAGGAGCTAGAACTAGGGACGCTGCCTCATAGCTGGCTTGAAGGAGTAAGAACAACCTTGATTGTTTCAACACCACCAAGCTAGAGACTCAAGGGATACTCACAAGGCAACTTGAATTTGGCTTTAATGGTTGAGTCTGACTGTTCAGCCGAGCCACTGCCATTGCCTTATTACTTGAATGGTTAACTCTAGGCAGAGCTGTCCTGTCCATAGGATGATTCAGGGCAGCTGCCCCGGGCCCTGTATTTTCAGGGCCTCCGTGGCAGCCGAACAGAGCCCTGGTCACCCCACTCTCTGCACTCATTCAGGTGGCGGGAGCTGTAGTGGCCCAGCAGCCTGCTGTGCCCTGCCCCACCCTGCCACCCTCTCCCTGCACACTGTGCTCTGCTTCCTGCCACCAAGGAGAAGCGGAGTGCAGAGGGCTAGGCGAGGGTGATGGGCCAGAGCAGGCTGCTGGGCCCCTGCTGCCACTTGGCCTCTGGTAATCTCCCAGCTCTCAGCAATCAAGGGAGAGGGTTAGAGGTGTGGAGCAGGGCAGGGGGCATGGAGAAGAGGTGGAGCAGGGGCTGTGCCGGACCCTGTGGGGCGGAGGGCTGCCCTGGGGTTGCCCTAAGCCCTGAACCCTCCTAGGGCTGGCCCTGAGTCCAGGGGTTTTCAAACTACATGGCACCGTGACCTCGGTCTGACACACAAATTACTACATAACCCCAAGAGGGGGAACCAAAGCCTGAGCCCACTGGAGCCCCGTTGCTTTAAGTGGAGGGGGGCAAAGCCTCACTGCCTCAGGCAGAGGGCCAAGGCCAAAGCCCTAAGACTTCAACCCTAGGCAAGAAGGCCTGTAACCTTCAGCCACTCAGGGCTGAAGCCCTTGGACTCGGGCTTTGGTCTCGGGAGGCAGGTTGGGCTTTGACATTGGCCCCGGGCTTCAGCAAGTCTAAGCCAGCCCTATAAATGCGATAAATGGACCCCTGCTGGATCAATGGCTGCCCATCGATCTAGCCCATAGTCAAAACATGGCCTAAAACACATGGGGTATGTCTACACTACCCATCATTAAAATAGGGTCACTTGTGACCCACTTTAGGGTCCTGATCCACTGCAGAACTTTAGTCTATAGTTTAGCCTTCCACTCAGCTTCCAAGGGGACAACCAGATGTGGTCACCTTTCATGGCAGAAGCGGACCTTCAACTAAATGTCACACAAAATTGCACTAAAAGCCTTGGGGACACTATAAAGTGGTTGTTTCAGACAGGACATTCTGTCGGAGGTATTTCTTACCAGTAGTACATGTTTCACTTGATTTTTACAACCCGTTGTGGTAAATAATTTGGCAGGGTTTTCTTTTCTGAGTGGGGCAGGTTAGGATTTTGCTGCTGTTCAGTTGTGTTTTATATGGGTTGAAAATCAGGTTGTTTTCTTTTGCCCTTTCTTTAAGGTTATGTATGGTCTAATGCCTTGTCTGCAAAGAGTGTGGACATGATTTCCCTCACCAGTGTAGACTGGGAATATGCAGGCTATAAAGCAATGCTACATACCATTCAATATGCGAGGAGCCAAGTTTACAAACCAAAGTTATCAATTACGCCAGAGATTTATTTGCCACTAGTGCACTACTCAAGTGTGGCATCCCTGGCTTGGTATGTCCTAGGCTTGTAAAACACTGGGAACAACTGTTGGTGTGGACCCAAGGTCTTGCCTAGACAATGGATATTCTAGGGTTCCAAGAACAATTAGTTGTGATGCCTTTTGTTCTAGTGTGGCTGGGCCATAGGTTTTATAGATCCCTAATTGGTTGTAGTACTCTTTGTAAAGCAAAAAGGCATAGTGTCATGGTGCGTCATGCATCTGTAGGTCAGGGAAACCATTTAAAACCCTTGGCAGTATGGGCCATGCTTTAAGCACAAATCTCTAGTAAGGTGCTTACATTATTTCATATTTCACTGTTGATAGTTAACTGCACAGCAGAGAAAAAAATTGTGCAGGAAGGTGGAGGATTTATCCTCTTGTAGGTTTCCCTGAATTACTCGGCTCCTTCTATAGTCTCTTAGATTTTAAGGCCAGAACAGACCATCAGATCAACCAATTCAACCTCTGTCACAGCACAGGGCGTAGAATTTCATCATGACTAAAGCATATCTTCTGTGTTACATGGATGCCCTTGATACTAAAAAAGGTGTGTGTGCAAAGTGTGGACATTTACCCCCATGTAAAGGGCCAGCAAGGGGCCTATCCATCAGTTAAATCTCACCTAGGCCTTGTCTGTAGTACTGGAGGCTATTGATCTAACTTATGCAACTTCAGGTACACGAATAATGTTACTGAAGTTGACGTACCTAGGTCTTCTTACTGCAGTATCTTCAACAGCTGACACTCTCCCCTAAGCTCTAGTTACTCTTCTTATTTTGGTGGAGTACCCGGGTCAATGGGAGAGTGCTCAGTGGTTGATTTATCATGTCTAGTATAAATGCGATAAATGGACCCCTGCTGGATCAATGGCTGCCCATCGATCTAGCCCATAGTCAAAACATGGCCTAAAACACATGGGGTATGTCTACACTACCCTCCTAGTTCGAACTAGCGGGGTAATGTAGGCATACCGCACTTGCAATGAATCCTAGTCCGAACTACCTAGTTCGAGCCCCGTGTAGCCGCGCTACACGGGGTTCGAAGCAGCGGGGATTTAAAAATGGCGGCTCCCCGCTTATGCAAATGAAGCCTGGGAAATTCAAATCCCAGGCTTCATTTGCAAGTGTGGTATGCCTTCATTACCCCGCTAGTTCGAACTCAGTTAGGTGAGACCTGAACAGGACATAGATCTCGTTGGTTCTGTGCATAGGAGTGAATTTCACCCATCTCAAAGATGGGCATAGGGGACTTTGCTTCTAAATCACAAACTGAGTGGGTCAAAAATGCTAAATTTTTTGTGGGAAATTTTTAATTTTTATTCAGTTTAAAAGTAGTTTTGATGGGTAGTTGTTGACCGGCTCTTTTTACAAGACGTGTAATTCCCCTTAACTGGGGAAAACAGAATCCTGACCTTGTTTCCTGAGATCTGGATCTTCTGTTTCAAAGGCACCAGGTCGGGAGCCTGAACGGTTCCTTCCTAATCTCTGCCACAGCTCACATAATTAGATGACTTGGGCTCAGTTTGGAATCAGTCTCATTGTCATTACAACAGCGAGTTTTGTTCCTTGTCCAGTAACAGCACAGCTTCACAGGTGATTAATCAGCTCTGCCCAGTCAGAGGCTCAGGTCTCCATTCATGGAGCTGACTGACTGGGCAGGGTGATTAATCAATCACCTGTAAAGCTGTGCTGCCGCACAGCTTCGAGAGAACACTGATCACAGGCCGTGTGTTCGCTACAGGGAAGATCAATGTTGCCACGATCGATCTTCCAGGGTCCAATTTAGCAGGTCTAGAATAATAGAATACTAGAACAGGAAGGGCCATTGAGAGGTCGTTGAGTCAGTCCCCTGCCCTTATGGCAGGACCAAGCACCATCTAGATCATCCCTGATAGATGTCTATCCAACTTGCTCTTAAATATTTCGAGTGATAGAGATTCCACAACCTCCATAGGCAATTTATTCTAGTGTTTAACCACCCTGACAATTAGAAAGCTTTTTCTAATGTCCAACCTAAACCTCCCTTGCTGCAATTTAAGCCCATTGCTTCTTGTCCTATACTCAGAGGCCAAGGAGAACAATTTTTCTCCCTCCTCCTTGTAACTTCCTTTTAGATACTTGAAATCTGCTATCATGATATGTGAAAACTGCTAAAAAAACCCAGATGGGGTGAAATCCTGACTGCAGTGAAATTAATGGGAGCTTTTCCATTGAGTTTAGTGGCTTTCACCCATGGAGAGTGTTTTATGCAAAGCAGCAGAGATTAAAATGACAGGTGAAGAACATCACTGAGGCCAAGTCTACACAAAAGGGGAAGGTTGAATTAAGATACACAACTCCAGCTATGTTAATTACATAGGTGGAGTTGACATACCTTAATTCGAGTTTCTGCACAGTGAGGGGCCAACAGGAGCAAACGCTCCCGTCAGCTTCCCTTACTCCTCGCAAGGAGCAGGAGTATAGGTGCCGATGGGGGCACACTCTGAGTTCCATTAAACAGGTCTTTAATAGACCTGCTAAATCGAACGCCAGAAGATCAACAAGTGGAGACGTGGCCTAAGCAATCACATGTACAAGAGTTTGTATCCATTGTTGCAAGTCAAGGATCATTCTCTTTCATAGTGAGAAGTGCAGTGTAGTTGTAACTAACTGTCAGTTGCAGAATATTAAAAAGACAAGGTGGGTGAGGTAAATAAGGTATTACCTCTCTCACCTTGAGTCTCAACGATAGAGTGGATGGGGGTGGGGTGGGGAGAGGAATAACTAGAGATATTAGATAATAAGTTACTACATTGTTCAGACTGAAGGATGCTATTCTCTGCATATTGATAAACCATACCTTGTGGTGATACTTTTAAACTAGAGCTAGTCAGAAAATGGTGACGTTTTCCACATGGAAACTCCTGACAAAAATTAAAAACAAAAATTTTAAGTGCAGTGTTCAGCAGAAAAAGTGACTCTTCATCAATAAAACAAGAAACAGAAAGAGTTTCAGATCTTCCAACAAAAAAACCCCAAACATTTTTAACTTTTTTTTTAATTTTGAGAAAAATAGACACTTCCTCACTAAAAAAAGTTTTGTCAAAAGCCCTCAATTGTCCATCAAATGCTATAGAATGTTTTCAATCTGTTCTACTTTAAACCTGATGAAGATTTTTCTGAACACTTTTGTTTTTGAAGTGCACCAAATTGGAAAGAATTTACATGCAAGTTCTCAAAGAACCTCCCCATGAAAAATCTCTATCCGCCCTCTGTATAAATAGGTGTCATATATATTTTTCACTTATATGAAGAATGCAGGTTCACTGTAGTAAAGTGCTGCTAGATGGGTCTTTGTTGATGTAGAAACCATTTTATTCCCATTACAGCCTCACCATGGCTATGTCTACACTGGCCCCAAATTCCGGAAAAGTGATGCAAAGTCAGAATAGGGAAATCCGCGGGGGATTTAAATATCCCCCGCGGATTTAAATAAACATGTCCGCTGCTTTTTTTCCGGCTTGGGGAAAAGCCGGAAAAAAGCGTCTAGACTGGCGCAATCCTCCAGAATAAAGCCCTTTTCCGGAGGATCTCTTATTCCTACCTGAAAGTAAGAATAAGAGATCCTCCAGAAAAGGGCTTTATTCCGGAGGATCGC